CACGACAATGAAGAGTATCAGTATGAGCGTCCTGGCCGTCTTTCGTCAGTGTCATCGGCCCTGCCAACACCTGACGTCACGACTATGAGAGACCTGACGGAGCTCGTGCGCAGTATTGTGCGCGAGGAGCTGCAAAAGCTGCACGTGGTGTCTTCGCAGCCCCATGTTGCCGCTCTAACGGATGTCGTTCGCGAAGAGGTTTAGCAGCTGGTGCACCCCATGACGCCTCTGCGTCCAGCTGATGTCCAACCCATGACGGCCCCACGTCTAGCCAAAGCTCCACTATTAACGTATGCGGAAGTAATAAGTATTCTTGCACCGGCTGTTCGCTATCCGCCCCGTCCATCCACCCTGCAGACAGCGCCGTCATTCTACTAAGGACCACCGCAGTATAGCAACCCACCCCTTACACGGAAATTTAGTGTATGGCGTGCTCCCGACAACCGGCCTCGCTGTTATCACTGAGGTGAACCAAGTCACATCTACCGTGAGTGCGCATACAGGCACATGTGTCTTCCTGGCTTTCGTCCACATGCTCGTCGACCCGGAGATGGCGAGCGGGCCCGTGCTATCGCCGAATACTTGGCAAGCCAGCAATCTTCAACCCTTCTGCATCGGCAATCCCGCTCACCGTCTACACGGCGTTCCACGTCACCTGGCCAACAATCGACCTTTGCGAACGTCCTAGCAGGACGATCGCCTAGATCTACGAGCCCGCACCGGGGAAACCAAGAACAGCGACCTCTGGGGGTGAGGCTGCCGTTTATAGACCGTTACAAGAACCTCCCCCGATCTGCCTGCCGACATCCGACGACATCCTTTCATCGACGTGTGCCATCGACGCCAAACGTGTCTCTGCTCGCGCCTCTGTCCTTGTCGACAACCACCCGCTGACCACTCCAGTAGATACGGGTGCCGATTATTCCGTTATAAGCGCTGACCTCGCTGCACACCTAAGAAAGGTAACGACACCTTGGGGACATGGAACCAACCTGCCGACTGCGGGAGGTCACCTATCGACACCGCTGGGAATATTCACTGCCTGCCTCCAAATTCGTCAGTCGACATCCATTGTTTCCTTCGTTGTATTGCGCGAATGCTCCATAAACCTAATTCTCGGAATTAATTTTCTCCGCGAGCATGGAGCCATTATTAACCTTCGTGACCTGCTCATAACGTTATCTAACGACCATACAGCCCTACAAAAGGATGCGGTTGCGCAGCCCACAACACTTCGAATTCCGCCGCACTTCGCACTTCCGCCGCGAGCCAGTATGCTGGCAACAGTGGAGAGCGACTGTGACAACAAGAGTAGTGGCATCGCGGTAACTAACCTCTCGGTGCTCTTGGGTCGGAAGATTTGTGTCGTGCGCGCTATCGTCCATCTGAAACATCGGAGGACTCAGCTTCTGATCACGAATTTCGGCAGCCAGTACCAACACTTGGCAAAGCGAACAGCGATCGCGAACTTTGAAGCCATTGATGACGAAAATTGTTCCACTATCGCTCCGATTGCCACTGCTGCCGAAGCTGACACTGCATTAGCCAGTACAGTTGACGTGAATTGCCAGCTATCCTCTGCGCAGCAGCAGAAGATACGCATGATTTTACGTACGTATAGTGACTGCTTGCGTCTACCTCCAAAATCAAGCAGACCCCAACCGTGAAGCACTGCATTATAACGCACCCTACCGAACGGCCTATACCACAGCACGCCTACCAATGTCGCAAAAAGAACAACAGGCAATACGTTTTCAGGTGAAACAGATGCTTGACGAAGACGTCATCCAACCCTCGAACAGTCCATGGGCGTCACCCGTCGTACTTGTTGAAAAGAAAGACGGCACTCTTCAATTTTGCGTCGATTACCGGAAGCTAAACAAAGTGACGAAGAGAGACGTCTACCCTCTCCCACACATAATGACTCACTGTATCGACTTCGACATGCCCGATATTTTTCATCAACGGATTTACGTAGCGGCTACTGGCAGATCGAGGTCGATGAACGCGACAGGGAAAAAACAGCAGCAGCATTCATAACTCCCGATGGCCTCTATGAATTCAAAGTGTTACCGTTTGGGTTGTGCTCTGCACCGGCAACGTTCCAAATGATGATGGACACCGTCCTGTCCGGTTTGAAGGGGGAATCCTGCCTCGTCTATTTAGACGACGTCGTTGTTTTTTCCAAAACATTTGAGCAACATTTACAACGACTTCAGTCCGTCTTCGTCGCTATTCAATCCGCAGGCCTATCGCTAAAACCGGAGAAGTGTCATTTCGGCTACGAAGAACTAAAGTTCCTCGGCCACCTTGTCAATCACGATGGCATTTGACCAGACCCAGAAAAGACCATGACCGTTGCTGCATTTCCTCCACCTTCGGACAAACGGGATGTGCACCGATTTTTGGGTCTCTGCGCCTTCTACAGGCGCTTTGTGCAGAGCTTTGCTAACATCGTTGAATCCCTTACCCGCTTAACGAAGGAAGATACTCCTTTTGTGTGGGGTCAAGAGCAGAGAGCCGCTTCTTCCAAGCTTCAACAGCGCCTTCAGAGTGCACCCTTACTAGGGCACTTTGATGAAAATGCTGCCACCAAACTTCACACTGACGCCAGCAACATTGGTCTTGATGCAGTGCTCATCCAGTGGCAAGACGGTGCTGAACGTCCCATCGCTTATGCTAGTCGCATTCTGTCATCTGCGGAAACTAACTACGTGACCACGGAGAAGGAATGCCTTGTTGTTATTTGGGCGATAACAAAGTTCCGACCGTATCTGTATGGCCATCCATTCAGAGTAGTTACGGACAATCATGCCCTCTGTTGACTGGTCAATCTCAAGGACCCTTCAGGGCGCCTCGCGAGGTGGAGCTTGCGCCTTCAAGAATTTAGGTTACAGTCGTCAACAAGTTCGGCCGCAGGCACACTGATGCTGATTGCCTTTCGCGCGCTCCCCTCGCGACAACACCAAGCGACAATGATACCGATGGCCATTTCCTTTGTGCAGTCAGTGAATCTGACTTGGCCCAACAACAGTGGAATGATTCAGAAATCCGACAACTTATCAAATACCTTCAATGTCACAGCTTGAGCCCACCATCGGCATTCACACGTTCAGGGTCGTTTTGTATCCGCGATGACATCTATAAAAAGAACTTCGAACCTTATGTGACTGAATACCTCCTCGTCGTTCCACCAGGGCTACGTGCTGACATTTTACCAGCCTGCCACGACGAGCCTTCCTCCGGCCACTCAGGATTCGCACGTACTTTTGCCTGGATTCGGACTTGCTACTACTGGCCAAAGCTCACCCATGATGTCAAGCATTACGTTAAAACGTGCAATCATTGCCAGCGCCGTAAATCCTCACCTGTGCGCCCTGCTGGTTTATTTCAGCCTGTTGCACCCCCGTCACAACCGTTTGAACGAATCTGCATGGGCTTGCTTGCGCCCTTCCCGAAGTCACATGATGGCAACCGCTGGATCGTAGTCGCCACTGAATATTTAACAAAATACTGCGAAACAAAAGCCCTACAACGAGGCACCGCCAATGAGATTGAGTGTTTTTTCATCAACAACATCGTACTCCGCCATGAAGCGCCAACAGTTCTTATCACTGACCGTGGAACAGCCTTCACAACCCAATTGATGCAATACGTCATGAGACTTAGTGGAACAGCTCATCGCAAAACGACCGCATACCATTCACAAACCAATGGTCTGACGGAGAGATTAAACAAGACGCTCGCTGACATGCTATCTATGTACGTCGACCGCGATCACAAAAACTGGGATGAAATTTTGCCATACGTAACGTTCACTTACAACACTGCGGTTCAAGAGACTACGGGTTTCACTCCTTTCCGGTTGCTTCACTGCCGAGAAGCAATTACGATGCTGGACGCCAGGCTCTTGCCTGACATGACCGATTTTCCTACTGATGCGAACGACATTATCCGGCTCGCCGACGCGGCCCGCCAGCTTACACTCGAGCGGATCCGAAAACAACAACGCATCGACTCACAAAAGTGCAACTCCCGTCATCGCCATGTTATTTAACAACCCGGTGATCTGGTGTGGCTGTGGATCCCCGTTCGCCAAAGGGGCAGCTCGGAAAAGTTACTTCACTGCTATTTCGGTCCTGATAGAGTACTACGGCGCCTCACAGATGTCAACTACGAAATTCTGCTTGAAGACACAGCTTGGAGATCTTGATGTTCCCAGCAGGCCGACATTGTTCATGTGTCACGGATGAAGCCACACTACCCCCGAGCCACCTGACACTGCTTCCTCATGCGTCTTTGTGCGTGTACGCGATTACTTTACCTTTTAACTGGATGATCATCAGGGTGGTACTTTTTGGAAGGCGGGTAATGCCACAGGCATGGAACGAGGTTCAGCTATGCCAATGCGAGTATGTGCCATGGCGTGAAAAAGAGGACTGTTTATGGTGCTCATGCTCTAACGATCGGTTCAGCTCGACGTCCAGTGCTGCTGCTCCGGTGAACAGACGTTGTGGTCTTTCTGTTATCACGTGACAATAGTATGGTAATTGTGTTATGACTAGTCAACTATGCTCGTCATGGAATTATGTTATGCCATAGCAAATTCAGTATTGATACCATTAGCGAAACGACCAGGAGAGCTAAAAGTCATCGGTGGCTAGATAGATAGATAGATAGATAGATAGATAGATAGATAGATAGATAGATGATAAATAGATAGATAGATAGATAGATAGATAGATAGATAGATAGATTGATACGCTCAAAGTCACCGAAGTTCACTAAAAATGTTTCGCATTTAAAATATTTCTGCTACAGGGTTTAACATATCTATCTATAGATGCAACGTATGGATACGGTGCCATAGGCTTCCGTTTTTCTAAAGACATTTTTGATGGTATACGTGAACACTGGCTAGCCAACGGCGGTGACCGAATTGCACAAAGACATATAGATGCAGGGGAACATAAGCAAATAAAGCACGTGTAAACACCTACCGCTTTGGCATCAGCAGTGTCATGCTTCAAATGGTGCTTGCCTTTTCCTGTGAGAACTGGTGCTATAGTTAAGCAAAGAGTACCAAGTACAATGAAGGGCAATCTGAAAACTGGCTCCATTATCAATCTAGACCACAGGGCGCTCCGCTAAACGTTTGCCTTTTGCGTACTCTGCCTCAGCAATATTAGTTAGGACGCATAAATACAACCCGCGTGTATACTGGTTTATATACGCTCACGAGGACACATTCGATCCATGCACACATCTGCTGTCTGTCAGTGAAGCTTCGCTAAATTTATTGCTCGGTGTACAAATAAAATTGAATCTATTCTCTTAGGTTGTCCAGCACGATCACTCGCCATGGGGACGAGCAATAGAAAATATGAAGAGAAAACGGGGAATATTTCCTTTAAAAAATTCCACAACACGTGCACTTAAAATGAACTTTTGTGATAATGACATCGCTGCTTATCGGTCGTGTGCTTTGTAAACTATATTGATGCACGTACAGAACTTATTCAGACTGGTTTATCCAGTCATGACGTTCGGTTAATGAAAACTCGGCTTAGAATGACTGTGAAGAAATAAGAGCCCATTTTTATAGTTGAAGTTTTGAATCAGCAGGAGCTTGTATTACTATATAGCTCTAGCTACAGTATAATATTGCTGATTGCAGCTAAAAAAAGTTTGATAAGCCATTGAACTCTATGAAGGTAGATGAACGGTTGAGAGAGTTGGCCCTAATATTTCGAACCTTAGCTGATACCGCAACCTTCAACCAAACCGGAAGTTAATTTAGTGCACGCTTCTCTGAAGCTTTTTTTCCAATTCGGCAGCGTGCATCGTTTTTCCACGACTTGCGTCGTCTTGTCTAGCTTGCCGCCCACGGTAGTACTTTCATGATCCATCGTAATTAGTGTTCGCTGCCCTGGTGTTTTATTTGTCACTTTATATTGCACCGGCTGGGAGTGGTGGGGTGGGCCGATTTGTGTGGCGTATACGTTGACGTTTGTTGTTTTCTTAAGTCATTTTTATCAGGTGAACAGAGGGTAGTGGAATTGCTTGTTTGGTTGTTCCTTAGTGACCTGGTGCAACCCACTGCAAAGGATCGGCTCCAGGAAGAGTGGTACTTTATTTAAGAGATAATATTGTTTCACTATCGGAATATGTTTAGGAGTGGATGGTTTAGGAGTGGAAGATTCTCTGGTAAAATCAAAGTTTTCACAAAAAATAAAAATAAAAAGACTGAAGGAACATATATAGTACTCAAAAAAGAACTTTACAAGCCAAATTGCTGAAACACTTAAATTGTACGTAAATCTTTCATGGTTCTAACCCTTTTGTCACCAGTAAAAATTGCACACGGCTTCGCAATCGTTACTCAGTTGCACCAAAGGAAAGAACACCCAGAAGGGATGCATTTAAGCCCATTCGTTGAACAAGTTCAGCTAGTAACCATTTTCCTTGATTTGTGAACAATGTGCATCTGAAAAAGACATGATGGCTCCATGTCCCTGACAGCGCACAGCGTCCCCTTTTTTAGTGAACCAGTGGTGAGTATTGTGGTTTGCCCGATTTCTGTGGGACACACGTGCGCTAGGTGTTGTTGGATTTGAATGGACAAATCCCCCTAGATGTGTAGTATGCTGAAGTTTTCTTACATAAACAAACGTTTACTCCTTCGTTAATACGAGACACACTATTCCTTGTGACGCTGTACCTGAAGAACAATTCATTCTTTTTTTTCTGCAGAGAAATGTCCGGTAGGTTAGTAGAGTCCATAAGTAGATTATTGCGTTCGGGTGCAGTATAGGTGGGATATACAAGAGGGAACCAATTGTTCTTCTTTAGCTCTAGGGTAGATCAGTTTTATGGATATGAGGAACTGTTCGCCTGCACAAATGAGTATTTACTAGTCCCCGTTGCTACATGATCACTGTATTTGCAACCATTTATTCATTTTCATTCACTGTATTTGCAACCATTTATTTCGCGCACACACACACACACACACACACACACACACACACACACACACACACACACACACACACACACACACACACACACACACACACGCACGCACGCACGCACGCACGCACACGCACACGCACACGCACACGCACACACACACACGCGCACGCACGCCCGCCCGCACGCACACACACACACACACAGCCAGCGAAGCCCCTTTTTGTATTGCTTTACCCGAAATATTGGAGAAAGCCAGGGGGCGCTCTTCCAGTGCGGATGTGCGAACACGTCGGCTCCCGATTGTACAAGTGTTCTGGCACGGATTTTTTGCCTCAACTAGCAAGAACTGTGCATCATTCGACGCCGTTTGTTGTAGTGAACCAGCAGATACCAACATCTTACCGGTGAGTGAAATTTTTGGACATCCCCAAAACTTTTACCCACGCCACGCAGACGCCTCGCGCGTCGACGCGTTTCTCGGGCGCTGCAACAGCGTCGCGACGACGCCTAACGCGTCGTCGAGCTGAAGAATGGCCTCCAACCCCAATGTGTCGGTTGTAGAAGGCATGGGCATCAATCCGGAAGAAGCGGAGTGCGCGGGATGGATTGAAGTAGCCAGCATGAAGAAGAAACTTGCCGAGTGGGCGGATTGTAACGCTGGTAATGCGCCCACGTCAGCGTCAGGAAGCGGTAAAGGCGGCTCCCGCACTGCCGCCTCACAGAACGTGTTGAGGCGTGTTGTGAAAGCTTTCAGGATCCCAAACCTTCCCAGGGATCACTTTAAGACCATTATACGGCCACGTGGAGGGATGGATGTTAAGAAGACAGACCTTCTTATCTTCAAGCGCTCGCTCGCAAAGGCGGCTTCCCTAACAGCAGAGCAGGTGTTCGACGACACGCTGTGCACGAACCCCTTCCAAAACATTTTCGTCGTTGCCACGCCGTTCGAGGCGAATGCGCGCGCCTACGCCAGGGTCCAAGAGATAAGTATGGGCTCGACTGTCATAGGCTTGGCGGCTTACGTGGCTGCGTCTGACAACACATGTAAAGGAGTGATCCGTGGAATCAATGTGGATCTCAGTGACGCAGAACTGACAGAGATGATCGTCAACCGGAGGAACCCTGACGTTCTGGGGGTTCGAAGAATCAAGAAGACACCAACAGTGATCGTGTTGTTTGACGGACAAAAGGTCCCCCAGCACGTCGTGTGTGATGGTGTTCGATACCCTTGTTCCTTGTATCGCAGGCGAGTGGACGTGTGCTATGCATGTGGTGATTTGGGCCACAGGTCCGATGTTTGCCCCAAGGGCGATGAACAGAAGAAATGCCGCGGATGTGGCATGCAGTCACCATCACCGGATCATCAGTGTGATCCCACGTGTGCCATCTGTGGCGGAGCGCACCCAACGGCGGACCGCAAGTGCAGAAAGCGCTTCCAGGTGCCCTACATCGTGCGCCAAAGACGGCGGCGCCGCCGTAGGCGCGCGCGGCGTGGCTCCGACACAGCTGGAGGCGAAGAAGGACTGGCGGAAGAAGAATCATTCTCCAGCGCTCATCGCAGCAGATCGGCATCTAGAGGACGCTCCCACTCCAGAGGACGCTCCGGCAGCAAATCGCGCTCTCGCTCCAGAGGGCGTGACAAGGGCAGCAGTCGCTCCCGTTCGAGAGGACGATCGGGTTCCAAGGGCCGCGTTCAGAAGCAAATGTTTTGGGCGGACAAGGCCAGGATGAACATCCGAAGCGGCCAAAAGGTAACGCAGGGCATTTTACCAGAGCAAAAAAGAGAACAATCAGAGATTTTAATGCTTAGAAAAGAAAATGCAGAACTTAAAGAAGCACTACGAACGCTGAGGGCCGAGTTCGAGCTCTTCCGCAACTCGCGTGAACCCCGTGAAGTAGCCACACCCATACTGGTTCCAGCAGGAGGGTCGAATAAGCGCAAGGCCGTTTCGCCCCCCGCGATCGCGGAAAGCGTGGCAATGCAAAGTGACGAGTCCCCCGCTCAGGTCCCTGAGAAAAATGTACTCGCGTCTTTAACGGCGATTGAGGAATCGCTCAAGCAGGTGAGAGAGGCCTTAGCCATTCAATCTAGCACAATCGAACGTATGGACGGGAGCGTCTCCCACCTGACACGTCGAGTAGGAATCCTCGAATCTGAAATGAAAATGATGGACTCTAGCAAACTCAAGACGACCAACACTGGTACGATTGCAAAAGCCAAGATAGTGCAGCAGGATTCGGACGCTGCGAGTTCGCTGCAGGCTATGTTCCTTCAATAATATTCAAAATGGCGGGCCAAACCGGAAACATAACTATCTGGCAGTGGAATTGCGCAAGTTTCTTAAGGCGTAAAGCTGCTCTACTGCAGCTCATCAAAGCACAGGCGTCAATGCCGCACGTCCTGCTCTTGCAGGAAACACTTAGCGAGAAGGTAGTCCTCTCGGGCTACCGTTCGATTAGCCAAAAAGGCGCAAATGGCAGAGGTATCGCCACGTTGGTCAGAAAAGATACCTCCTTTGAGCAGCACGAAGTCAAAATTTGCGACTCGGATAAGAGATCCGGTCTCGAGGCACAATTAATTGAAATCATCCCCAACGGCAAAATCCGAAGCAACATATTCGTTTTTAACCTGTATAGCCCTCCTTCGGCTTATAAACATAATATCCGCTCACTCCTTCATAGGGTCGCAACTGCCGCCACATCGCACCCTTTAATAGTAGCTGGGGATTTCAACGCTCCCCATCCGTCTTGGGGCTGTGTTACGAGGACAAAGAAAGGAGCCAATCTAGTTGCAGCCAGTATAGACTTAAACCTAACGCTTATCTCCGACCCGCGTTTTCCCACGAGGCTGGGAAACTCGGTCGCCAGAGACACGATGCCTGATCTCAGCTTCACTAGAAATGCGGTGGTCGAGTGGTCCAACTTACAGGAGAACTTGGGAAGCGACCACAGCATCATAGAACTCCGGATGGAAATAAGAGCACCACCCCCAAGAACCTATAAATATACAGACTGGGACCTTTTTAGGCAAATCAGAGGTGAAGATGAGTCAGTACATGACACCTTCAGTGAACTTCTTGTACAAATCCAGAAGGATGTCGACAAGGCCACCAAAGAAATAGTAACAGAATTCGATGCTCCGGGGATGATGCAAGGTTAGCGCACCTCCTGGACGCCAAACGCTCTCTCATCGCGAGATGGAAAAAACAAAGGCTAAATCGCAGGCTACGGAAAAAGATTGCGGAGCTCA